ACCAAGGAAGCCCCACCTGTGCATTACTTAAAGCATAACAGGCATCGTGGTCAGATTCAAGGCCACCCCTTGGAACAATTTCAGGGCACTACTTGCATAGACTCAGTATGAAAAGTCACCCCCGACTGACCTCCTCTTACCCTGACAGAGCAGCTCGGTCTCCAGAGGAGACCAAAGACTCGGGTTTCCTGAATCCAGTCTTAACTAGCTGCTCAGGGGTCCAGTGCTCCCCAGAGGAAGAGAGAAAGGAAAGAGAGCAAAAGCAATTCACTGGCAAGTTTTTACACAAAGCTAATAAGCTTAAATGTCAGGTCCCTCACCTGCAAGGACCTCTCCAAGCCACTCTACCTAATTTTGGATTTATTTCTGTATTCTTGCTTTAAGAAAGGCTGCAAAACCATTGAAACTTCAGGCCCCCAGAAAACATGGGTCTGCTCTGGCTCCCAAATAGGACTCTTACCTCCTCAGAGACAAGTATCCGTCATTCCCCAGCCTGGTAGCCTCCACCAGCCAGCCTCCTCCCCTGGATGTCCACCTGTCTAGCCAGCTCCAACAGGCCTCCACGATTTGGCATTCTCCAGCCAGGACTACGTTTTCCCTAACATTTCAGCCTGTTGGACTGTTGTTGTGGACTGTGCCCCACAGCAAACACTACCAACAGTAGGAAGATTTCTCCCAAGTCTCGGGCAAATTCACCCCGCACTCCTAGGTGTCCCCACTGCCCTCAGCGGGTCCCTCTGTCACAGCACAAATCCATCCCAGGGAGACTTCAGTTTTGAGGGTCCGCCTCTCTGCCAGGGTCCAAGCAAGTCTATCTGATTTGGGTCTCCAGAGCCCACCAGCTCAGAACTGGCCCCTCCCAAGTGCTGGGCAAATGTTTCTTGAATAAATGAATCGATGAGTAACGCTAGTGCTGGGGACAATAACAGAGTGATTTTAAAAGGTCAAGTTCAGTGCTGGGACCCAGCTGCAGTCTTTGCTCTCCTGCTCCAGCCACCCCCTCCTGATACCTTATCACTCTCCTCCAGGCAAGCTGAACCAGGAAAAAATCATTCCTGGAGCCTGTTTGCCCCCTGGTGGCTGAATAGAGGCAGCAAGTGAAAGTATCAAAGTTAAAAGTCGCTCAGCCATGACTCTGCAAACCCAGGGACTATACAGTCCAAGGAATTCTCCAGGCCAGAATACTGGATTGGGTAGCTGTTCCCTGCTCCAGGGGATCTTCCCAGCCCAGGGACTGAAGCCAGGTCTCCCACATTGCAGGTGGATTCTTTTCCATCTGAGACATCTGAGCCACCGGGAAGCCCAGGTGGAGCCCAATCCTTGGATGACCTGCACAGATGCTTTACACACTTCACCTCCCCCCTCAAGAGCAATATGTTCACCACGGTCTTACTCACTTGGAGGCTCACGTCCTACAATTTCTGTAATTGCTTGGTCTATAAGGGGCTATAAGGACTCCTCTCACCTGCAGTCCCCCAAGCCCCACCCTGGACCCAGTTCCCTTGAGTCATGGTGGCCTCCATACCCGTCCAGGAGATCTCAGAGAAAGGAAGGCCATCCTGCTTCCTATGTGTCTGGTCTTACATTCTTGCCTGTCCCTTCCAAGGCCCTTCAAGATACCTGGAATGTGTGCTAGAGCCAGGCTGAGCTGTGGGACCCCATCCCACAGAGTCAGCATAGCAAAGTCATGCCCTACTTCCTGGCTTCCAAAGAAACTCGCCAGCTACTTTATTCCAACAGGCTTCCTCACTCTGGACCACACAGTCTTGCCACCACTGCAGTGCTGCCACCTGGAATCAGGGACAGTGGACCACTGTGCCTTGCTCAGCCTGTGCATTGGTGTATTCATAGTGGAATGTGATGCCTTTCAATGAGACATGCCTTCTGCTGGTGTCTCCTGCCCTCTGTTAAATACATGTACAGATCTTCCTCAACAGTGAGCTTATGTCCTGATAAGCCCATCTTTAAGTTGAAAATGTCATAAGTCAAAAGTGCATTTACTTCAAAATGCATTTAATACACCTAGCCTACTGTTAAACATTTCTTTGGACAACATGAGAGTTGCGAGTTAAGTTTTATTTGGGGCCAACAAGGAATGCGGCCCAGGAGACAGCATTTCAGATAGTTCTGAGAAACTGCTCTGAGGAGGTAAGGGGAGGAGCTAGAACATTTGTTTTGTGACAAAGGGCAGGTAGTTGGGAACATCAAAAGATTTTTGTTAATTAAAGAAACCAGATATCTCACGTTAAGGACTTTAGTGCTTTTCTATGCATAGGAAGATGCAAGAGTCTGGGCTTACTAAAATCATTCCTTTGATACGTATCTCAGCTGTGTGGGGCCAATATCCTGTGTTTTCACATCCTAAGTTCCTCAGGGCTCACTATAGGGAGTGGCTGCAGTCTGATGGCTGTGAGATGGCAGGTATTCTTTCCTTCCTGAGTTCCCTCAGAGCTCACCAGCTCACCATCCATGGTGGCTGCAATTGCTAGTGACTATAGCATCCTTATTTACTGGTATGGCAGGAAATATTCCATTTCTCACTACCGAACGTCACAGCTTAGCCTAACCTATCTAAAACATGCTCACAATGCTTAAATTAGCCTATAACCAGGCAGAATCATCTAACACAAAGCTTAGCATATGATGAAGTGTTGAACATATCATATAACCTACTAAATACTATACCGAAAGGGAAAAATACACTGGTTACTTGGGTACAGAGTGGTTATAAGTGTACTAGTTGTTTACGTCCAGATCACGTGGCTCACTGGGGGCTGTGGTTGCCACTGCTGAACAACATCATAAGAGAGTATTGTGGTACAGCTCATCACTAGCCAGGAAAAGGTCAAAATTTGAAGCTTCTACTGAATAAGCATTGTTTCTGCACCATCATAAAGTTGAAACATCTTAAGTTGAACCATTGTAAGTTAGGGACCATCTGCCATCATTCCTCCCAGTTTCTCTTAGGTCCTGAAGGATCTAAGTTAGAGACTCCCGCTCTGTACAGTTCATTCACAGCCTCCTTTTCACACCATTTCCTGTCTACCTACAAAATGTACTTAAAAACTGCCTCTTCTAGGAAGTCCTCTTTGACTTATCTGTTCAATAATCATGTACCATAGTTTTGACAAACAGTCCAAGCATATGGAAATAAGATTTATAGCCCAAGACCAGGAGGGTAGAGGAGTTGTATTACTAGGAAGTGCTTTTTATATGCCACATGTAATTGCACATACACAAACACACACACACACACACGATACTAAATCTGCTTGACACCAACTTCTCCCCACCTCCTTCCCTCCCAGCAGTCTGAGGGGGTTCTATCATTAAGACGATTGATGATAATAGGAAAAGGCAATGAGCATTCACTGTAGCCAAGCACAGGACAAAGGCTCACACCTGACTTGTACTTGCCCCCGAGCACAGAGACCTGCGGTATCCACATCTTAAAGGCAAGGCCTACGAGAGTAGGAAAATGTCAGTGTGGAAACCATAAGCATGGAAACCAGTGTCCCATTGGACGGGTCCACCTGTGGAACATGAGTCAGATAAAAGCAGACCCACGTCATGCCTCTTTTCCTCTTCCCAAGTAATCCCCCATAATGTCTGCTGCATGGTGTGATTTTTGTGGGATTAAACGTGAACAGCTTAAAAATAAATCATTACATTTCCATCTTCAGTTGATCTAAGCCTATAATTTGACACCTGGCCACAAAAGCAGAGTAACAACAGTCAGGGGATTAAACTCTATTGACCTTGTGACCTAGCTGGAAGTTGATCATCCCTAATTAGAACAATTTTGTAATTGTTTTACAAAAATATCTCAGGCACCCACACCATTGACAGGCCACTCCATTACAGGGGGCTGTCATGCTAGAGGCCAGGAGAGCAGTGTCTCTGAAGCAGAGGGGTACCTCTCCTGGGCTTACTCACTTTGGCGGCTAAGTCCCCCTCAGGACTTTCCTGCGGCCCCCAGGTGATCCACTGTCCCTGATTCCTCAGTCCACCCCTCCTTCTTTTGAGTTTCCTCTCCTCCAAGCCCAGTCTCAGGTTAAGGATTCACGCCAGGGTCAGGCTAGTGGAGGAGGGACTGGAGCTGGAAATGGACCCAAAGAGAGGTGGGAACAGACGTGGGCCGCTGGGACAGCTGTGGGCAGGGGTCCGACAGGCAGCCATGGCCTGGGTACCAAGAGAAATGATGGACATCGGGATGGAGGCCCAACAAGTAGGTGAGAAGCAAGTGCCAGGGGTCAGGGCAGCCTGAGTGCAGAATTCTGGAACAAGAGCTAAGTTAGGGACCAAACCAGAAACCCACTTGTAAAAACACAAGAAAATTCAGAACATGAGGAAACTCTGGGGTGGGTACCTCTGCATTAAAACAAGTTGGGGAACCAAGAGTGAGTGGAGCCCTTGACTGGGGCTACCCATCACTCGAAGCCTGGAGTACTGAGTGTGTCCTGCCTCCAGATTCTCCAGAATTTGACCATGACCTCAACTTCGGGGACCTGGGGAAGAAATGGGGGAAGGCAGAGGAGGCAGCAGCAGGTTCCGAGCACCCACACACACACACTTTTCCTGGCCCTAAAATAGAGCACTGTGCTTCTGAGGTTTTGCTGGAAACTAAAGGGAACCAGGAGAGAGGTCAAGTTAGGACAAATCACAAGTTAGGGCAAGTCACAAGTTGAGCAGAAATGTCACCAGAGCCCCAGCATAGCTAGGGTGAGGCCTCACTCCTGGCCCGGGGCCTCTACCCACTTCTCTCATGGGGTGGGGTTCTTATCTGGAGAGGCGGGGTCCTTGGGGCTCCACCACACTGGTGTCCATCCCGAGCCGGTGTTTCTGGGCACTGGCTGGGGCACTGAAACCTCTGGGAGATCCTGGCCATCCGGTAAAGTTGTGAGAAACCAAAAGGGCCCCGGGACTCTTTCGACGTTAGTCTCCCATCACACGGAGACCATGTGAGAAGTGAGGAGGACATGAACATGAAGCCCTGTCACCTGTGAAGCCCAGGACAGGAGCACGGTGGGCCTCGGTCTGGGGAGGGGAGGGATGTTTTCTATCAAATGTGCTGGAGGGGGCTTCCCTGGGGGTCCAGTGGTTAAAAATTCACCTGCCTATGCAGGGGACACATGTTCAATTCCTGGTCAGGGAAGATCCCACATACCACAGGGCAACCAAGCCTGTGCGCCATAACTACTGAGGCTTCATTCTCTAGAGCCTGCATCCCTCAACGTGAGAAGCCACCCCAGTGAGAGGCCCATGTACCGCAACTAGAGAGCAGCTTCTGCTCGACACAACTAGAGAAAGCCCACAGGCAGCAATGAAGGCCCAGTGCAGCCCAAAATAAATGATTTTTTTTTTTTTTTAATTTTTAAGCCTTCTTTAAAAAAAAAAAAAAGTGTGTTGGAGGAAGGGAAACATCCCCAGAGTGGTACCCTCAGACCCATTCAGGTCCCGGCTCAGCCACTTACTAAGGGGTCACCTCCCTGTTTTGAAACAATGAACAGCCTTGTAGGACCTATCTCCTGGATTGCCTTAAGATGTAAATGAGAAAATGTGTGAAAGAATGTTTGCCACCTTTGTTGAAAATACAAAAATACATCACGCAAGCTCCATTACCAAGAAGAGCAAACTGACGCCAAATTTTGGGGTGCACCGGGGCCCTCTGGCCCTCCTGGCCCTCTGGATGCATCTCCATTCCTTTGCTGCTCCCCCTGCGACAGCATTCAGGGCTCCCCCACACTCAGTCTCACTCTGGGCCCAGAAGAAGCCTTGGAGGATCATTAGGAGTGCCCAGATCCAGGGTACAGGTTCTCAGCTTCTGCTGGGTAAGCTGGAATAAAACTGTGGTTCTACCCAGAGCAGCGAGGCCCTGCTGGGGTTTGCGGCCCCCTACTCCTTCTGTGACAGGGATAATGGAAGGAGAATTCTCACTGAACCAAGACAAGCTAAGAACCTGCGGGCACAGAGTCGCTTTACAAATTGTAAAACAAATTGTTATTGCTATTTAGTCGCTCAGTCATGTCCGACTGTTTACGACCCCATGGACTGTAGCCGGCTGGGCTCTTCTGTCCATGGGATTATTCCGGGCAAGGTTACTGGAGTATGATAGCCAAAGCAAACTTCAGGGTCGAGAAGAGTTCCATTAACATTTTATCTCTTCACCCTGAGCTTGGGAGCCTGTCAGGAGAGGTGGAGGCGGCCCTGCCCTGGCAGACAAACCTGCAGACCCACCTTGATTGGAAGGCAGCCAGGGCCTCGAGCCACCGACCCAATTCCCACGCTCCAGGGCTCTCCCAATTTACCTTCCCTCTCACGCCTCGCCCCCGGGAAGCCTGCCTGGAGCGTCTACCCAGAGCCCAGCCAACCCAGCTCACACCCTCCCTGGGCATCAGGGACGTGGAGAAAGGCTGAGGGCTTCCTCCACCAACGGGAGTTCCAGGCTTCTCCATCTCTGAGTGTTAACATCCTCTCACCACCCTCCACCCCCAGCAGCCCTCTTGCGATGAACTCAGTGCTGATGAGAGAGCTGGGAGATCCTAAAATAAGATCTTCTGGCTTTGGAAAACATGAGTCAGACTTTTGTTACAGCTCTGTTTTGCTGCGGCAAATGTTATAACCAATCTGCTGTCCCCAGCTGGCAGAGGAGGGTGGACGGGGGCGTAGGCAGCCCTGGGAAGCTTTCGTGGTGGAAAGCCAGAGGTGGCTGACCTGCTTCCCTAAGGGATTATCCTTGACCTCCTTTTCCTTCCAAGCATCGGGTCCTGTGAGCCTTTGGGTCGCAGGTGGGGAGAAAACAGCTGCCATTGGTTGACTTGAGTCCCCCTGTATAGAGTTGGAACTTAGAGGGGTTCCTCTTTTCTTTGCCCCTAGTGATCGCCTTCTCCCTTCTCTTCCTCTAGTTCCCTGCCAGCTCCAAGTGCGCTGGAATGTGACTCCATTCTGGCTTGCAAATCTCTTTTTGGCCCTGAGGATAGACACATAGCCTCCCAGGCAGACATCCACACTGGCCTACATTTATTCTCCCTTTATTGATCCAAGAGGGAGCAACAGAGAAAGTGCCTCCACGCTGCTCTTCCAGCTCTGTGACCTCCCATCAGAATAGTCCTGGTTACAGGTTTGGGGGGCTCCAATGCAGAGACCCCAGGGCCAGCAGAGCCTCCCAGAGCCACCACTTCTGCTGAATCACTCGTTCACATACTCGCTTGTCCAGAGATGGGACTGCCTGCATCACCAGCTCAATGACAGACTCGCCTGCCCACTGCACCCCGCTCCCAGCTCAGTGCAGATGACAAAGGGGCTGGAGAGGGCCAGGGCTCTGAGCCAGCATCACCCGTTTCCCCAGCTCCTCCAAGGAAGGAGAGGTCAAGAGACTAGACTTTGGTCACTGGGAGGCGGCTGCAAACCTCAGATCTAGACCCATTTTCCCATCTATATGATGGAAGCAATGATGCCCACTTCTCACCATTATTGGCAGCATAGGGTGAAAGAGTCAGGTAAAGCATTCAGCTGAGCCTGGTAAGTGCTTCCTCAATAAGAGGCATTTCTTGCTACTATGATGCCAATGAAAGATATATTTTTTTCAATTAGCAAATGATTTCAGGGACTTATGTGGTGAGACTCCACCCCTCAGGTTATCTTCTTCCTGGCATCAACGTCCCAGGGAAGCAGAAACAGTAACTATCAGATGAACACAATCAAATCAAAGGAAGTGGAAGAGTGGGGGAGGGGTGGGGGGGACTTTCACCTGTGCCCTGGGAAGGCCCCACAAGCACCAGTAGCCTCCACAGAGGATTCCCCTCTGTAAGTAGAACCTGCTAGTGCCCGCTCACTCCCAGGCCCCGTCCCCCGACCTGGGCTGGCTGGGACCCTCCATACCCCAGGAGTCACCTCAGTACCCTGGGCCACCAAGATGGTGTTTCTCTTCTCCTTATGAGCTGTCTTCACAAAAGCGGCCCTCACCGCTCAGGGACTTCCCTCCTTCATAGCCCACAGCCTGGCTGATGGCGTGCAAGTAGCGATGCCAGTCCCCACGCATAGGGCATGTCTGTCACCAAGTGCTTCTGCCCTACGCACTATCTGAGCCAAGCTTCCTGCAACTCAGTCTCTGCTCTGAACAGTTTCATCACATGGATGTATAAATCTGTTCCATCACAAAGAAAAAGCAAGTCTGGGGAAGCACCCGGAGCTAAAACAACAAATCGGACATCTCCTTCCCCAGGTCAGCCCCGGGTCAGACCCTGCTGGAGGGCCCCAGCCCAGCAGAAGCAAAGGTGAAGGCTGCCTCTCACCTCTCCCTGCAGCGCAGCTGGGTGTCAGGAATAGAAACAGCCATTCACAGGGTCTCTGGCTCTTTTGACTTTGTGATTGAGAAGCAGACAGATGAGTAGGGAAGAAAGGAAGGCGGAGGGCAAGGGCTTCATCCAAGCAGGACTCTTTCTCTCTCTCTCTCCATCCCTCCTTCCACATGACTGACCCCTGCCCTCCATGTCTCTTGACCCCTGTCTCCTCCATGTCTTTGAGTTTTCTGCCACATCAACCTCCATTTGTGTCCTTGTTTGTCTCCTTCACTTTCTTGTCTTCCCTCTGTCTTTTTTTCTTTTTTTATTATTTTTTATTTATATTTATTTATTTAGCTGCATTGGGTCTTAGTTGTGGCATTCAGGATCTTTGATCTTTGTTGTGGCATGTGAGATCTTTACTTGTGGCATGTGGGATCTTTAGTTGCAGCATGCAGACCCTTAGTTGCAGCATGTGAGATCTAGCTCCCTGAGCTAGATTGAACCCTGGCACCCTGAGAGCACTGGGAGCATGGGTGACTTCTGAGCTCTGGACGCACAGTCTTAGCTTATGGATCATCAGGGACGTTCCCTCCCTCTATCTTAATCCTACTCTTCTTTCTCTTCTTCCAGATGGTAATCTTCTATACACCTTTCTGCTCTCCTTCCTGTTTTCTCTCTCCTGCCTCCCTCATCTCTCATCTTCACTGTTAATTACTCAGTCTTTTTGTTATCTATATCTCCCTACTTTTCCCTTCCAAGAAAAATACTGATGTGGGAGATACTCACCTACCTTCCATCGACAACACACCCACCACCCACCCCACCCCCACACATCCAGACCCCAAGATTCTGCCAGCGGTTCAGGCTGGTAGTTCCGGGCCCCATCCTCAGAGTCATCACTGATAAAACTGCTAACCTCCACACTGAGCTCCAGGAGGACCGCAAGCCCATTAAACTGGGGCAGCCCTGATATACCAATTCAGGAATGGTCAGACCAGGACAGAATGAAATACATCTATTTAAAACGTAACCCACCCACCCCCCCCAACCCAGTGGGTCCCTTCTCGGTGGTCCCACACCAGTCCTGCCTGGGCAACTGCAGGACATCCACACCCTACCCTGCCTTACCCAACTCCATCCCTGCCCTCTATTTTGCTTATCTTAGCACCTGAAAATGATAGCAAGGACACACCCAACCTAACCAGCCTTTCTCAATAATTGGCTGACGTTCGATGGGTAGTAGCTATGGTCACTACCTAAGACGAGTCAGAGGAGGAGGAAAACCAGGGTACCTACAATCTGGGTGGTTCCCAGAAGTGAAACATGAGGAGTGGTCTAGGTGTGATCCCTGGGACACGGGGCCCAGTGGCCAGACTAAAACCCAGCAGAGTGGACTGCCTGACTGACCCTTTTCATGTCCTTCGAGCACTATCATCATCATCACTCACTTGGGCCATGCCTGGGGAAGGGGTGTCTGTGGCCCCAAGACCTCCAGAAGCCTGACCAAGTGGGACAGCTCCAGCCAGGCTTCTCTCTGGCAGGTATGATTTAACCTGTTCAGATTCTTTATCTTCCTCCCTAAATCCACTCCTCCCTTGTGTTTGCCCCCTTGGTATATGGTACCTCCATTTGCCCAATCGCTCAGAGAATTTAGACTCTCCTTACACCTTCCACCTGCCTTGTTCTCCAAATCTAGTCAGTCATCAACTCCGGTCACATGTAAAATTTCTCTCTGCTCTTCTGGTTCCATCC